GATTTCCTAATTATGACTCAAAGTTCTCTCTTTTGTTTCTTCTTGATCCTATTGGACATATAAATTCACTGACATGTATATAAGTCAATAACTTGGTATTTTAAATTTGGTACTAAGGCATTAAGCAAAATAAATGAAACCACTGAAAATTGGAAAAGGGCACTATTATTCAATTTTAACTGTGGAACACCTTATAATAGTTTGAGATTCACCACCATAAATCATCCAAATACAGATTGAACGTCCCTAATAAAAAAATCTGAAATCCAAAATGTTCCAAAATGCAAAACTTCTTTGAGCACCAACATGACACCAGCGTGGAAAATTCTACACCTGACCTCATGTGATGGGTCACAGGCAAAACCTTGTTTAATGCATGAAAGTATTCAAAATATCATATAAGATTACCGTGAGGCTATGTGTATAAGGCATATATGAAACATAAGCGAATGTTGTGTTTAGACTTGGGTCCTATTTCTGAGATCTCTCAGTGTATATATGCAAATATCCCAAAATTTAAAAAAAATCTTAAATTTGAAACAATTCTGGTCCCAAGCATTTCAAATAAACGATACTCTACCTATATACCGTAAATTTAACAAGTCAGTGTTCCAACTTTATTCCCTGGACAGTGTCTTTGCTAAAACTGATTGTTTTTATTCACTATAATTGTGTAACACTTAAACTTTCTGAAAATAATACATAATTATTATAGGACATTAGAAAACTACAGAAAAGCCCAAGGAAGAAAATATAAATCACTCATAATTTCATCATTCAGAAATAGTCATTGTTACCATTATGGAGGATCCATGCAGTCCATTTTAAAAATCTTTTTCTCCACTTATATTTTATACTTTTAGAGGAAAAGACAATCCAATAGAAAAAATGGCCAAGAGATTTGAATAGGCACTTCATAAAAGACTACGTCTAAATGGCCAATAAAGCTATTAGAAATAAGGAAAATACAAATTCAAATCTCAACAAGATATTGCTACATAACCATACTATGATTAAGGCTGACAATAACCAGTCTTATTAAAGATATGAACAATGGAAATTCTCACCATGCTGATGAGAGTGAGAAATGGTCATAGGCAATTTGGAGAACTGTTTGATATAATCTATAAAAGCTGAAGATCTACATATCATTTCATCTGGTTATTCTACTCCTAATTCACTCAACAGAGTTATACGCTCCCTGTGTGATGAAAGACATCTAGAAGAATGTTTGTAGTAGCATATTCCCAAATTGGAAGCTAAATGTCCTTCAAGAGCAGAGTGAATGAAGACATCGTGGTATATTCATGTAACCCGTTAGAAAGGCTTTTTCCATTCTAATATGTATACAGCAATGAAAAATGGTCACTGTGTGCAACAAAAAGGATGAGCTTCGCAACCAAAATGTTGTGTGAAAGATCCCAAGAACAAAAGAACATATACTATAGGATTCCATTTACATAATGTTTGCAATCAGACAAAACTAAATTACAGCATTTACTGATATATATGCAAGTGATGAAACTATAAAGAAAAGGAAATGATTATAATCCTGTCAGGAATGTGGTTTATTTGCACAGAAGGGAGGGTGTAGAGATTGGGAGGTGGAAGGAGGGCATTTTGGGGATGCCTGAATGATTTTATTTTTAGACTTGGGTGGTGGTAACAGATACTCACTTTGTGATAAATCAGCTTTCCCCATTTCTTGTGCACACAGTTATTTATGTGTGTTATATGGAATCGTATAAATGTTTACAAGGAAATAATAGTATTGCAGTAGACATTGCTTTTAAATTTGCTCTTTTCAAAACCATCTTACTAACATTTTCGACATTATTAGGTGTTCTACATTTTTATAGCTACATATTATTTCCTTGAGTTGATAATTTTAAAAGCCCCTTATTAGTGGACATTTAGTTATTTCTAGTTTTTTAAAACTATATAATAGTTTGCTAAACATCTTTGTTTATATCCCTTTTCAGACTTTCATGATAATTTCTTTGGACTAAATTCTTAAAAGTGAAGTCATTTAGGTAAAGGTTTTTTAAAAAATTTTTTGAAAAAAATTTTTAATATTCAGTATTGCCAAATTACTCTCCAAAGTAGTTATGACAAACTAGATTCCTTTAGCATTGTGGGAGAATGTCAGTTCTCTCCAAGCTCAACAACATTAGGTATTGCCATTTTATTTTTATCTTTTCCAGTATCATCAATCACACTCTTATTTTTTATTTGAACTTGCATTTCCTTGACCATAAGAAAGTCTGAACATTAAAAGATATGTTTACTGGCCAATGTAGGTCTTCTATGAAATACCTTTGTTCATTTTTAAAGTGAGCTAAGTTTTTTCTTATTAATTTTTAAAAGATTATTAAATAAGAATATTAATCATTTGCCATCATAGGTGGACTTTTTATAGTGTGCCTTTTCATCTTATGATGTTTTAGAAGTAATGTTTTTGTTGTAAAATATGGATATAGATGACCAAACAAAATGAAAACATAGCTTAGTGAATTACCATAAATCATACATCTTTGTAATTACTTCCCAGGTGGAGAAAGAGAAGTTTGTCTCCCCGAAAGCCCCTCTGTGCTCATCTTTATCTCCCTCCTTCCCCCAGCAAGTAACCACTACCTGATTTTTATAAAATAACTTCTTTTATAGTTTGAACACCCAAGCGTGCATCCATAAATACTGTGGTTTAGTATCATTCATGAAAAATTAGTATGTCCCCTTTATTTGTTATTTTAAAATTGGAATATAATTTGCATGCCATAAAATTCACCCTTTTAAAGCATACAATTCAGTGTTTCTTAGCACATTCTCACAGTTGTGCACCCACAAACAATATCTAACTCCAGAACATTTTCATCACTCCCAAGAGAATCCCTGTACCAGTCACTTAGTGACTCAGCAGTCACTTCCTATTCCCATTTCACCTTGGCCCTGACAACCACTAATCCTTCCGTCCCTAAGGATGTGTTTATTCTGGACATTTCATATTCATGGAATCATATGACACGTGCCTTTTGTATCTGGCTTCTTTCACTTAGCATAAATTTTTCAAGGCTTATCTATGTTATAATAAGTATTAGTACTTCATTCCTTTTTATGGCCAAATAATATTCCGTGGTGTGTATATACTATACTTTGTTTATCCATTCATCAACTATTGGACATTGGTGGTGTTTCCAGTCTTTGGCTACTATGAATAATGCTCCTATGAATATTTGTGTATAAGCTTTTGTGTGAACTTGTGTTTTCATTTCTCTTGGATATATACTTAGGAATGGAATTGCTGGATCATATGAGAACTCTACAGCTAACTTTTGGAAGAACTGCTAAGCTTTTTTTTTCAACAGCAGCTGCACTATTTTATATTCCCACTAGCAATCTACAAGGATTCTAATTTCCCTGCCAACTCTTGTTATATTAGTATGTTGTTTAAGGTTCTTTTATTTTATACTGTCTCCCACCCCATTTCTTTCTTTTCATAACAATGTATTTATTGAAGAAACCAGACTATTTGATCTATAGAGCTTCTCACGATATGGGTTTTACTAAATGCATACTCATGGTGAAATTTAAAATGTCATCTAATATCTGCAAATTGGCAGCTGTATTCAGAAACTGGGTCAGACTAGGTTTGATGTATTTGGCAAGACTGTCGACGGTTTTATCAAGAGGCATGTGATGTCTGACGGTCTCTCTGATGGTGATGTTAACAGCTGCGAATGTTTTGTGCCTAGATTTAATAATTCACTGGGGATTATGAAATGGTGTTATTCAAATTTTATCACTTCTCCTTCACTTGTTGGCTAGAATATGCTCATAAATATAATTTTTGTTACTCTCGTGCTATAATTCATATAGGATGCAGCTCATACAGGACAGGAAATACACATGCTTGATTCATGTCCTTTATTAATTAGATCTCCAAGATAATTAACTGGTTTCCTATCAGTGTCTGAAAGTGATTAATTTAGGTTTTAAAAATATTAATTCGTTAGTATTCTTTTTGTTTGTTTGTTTGTTTGTTTGAGATGGAGTTTTGCTCTTGTTGCCCATGCTGGAGTGCAATGGTTTGATCTTTGCTCACTGCAACCGCCGCCTCCCATGTTCAAGTGGTTCTCCTGCCTCAGCCTCCCGAGTAGCTGAGATTACAGGCGCCCACCACCACGCCCAGATAATTTTTTTGTATTTTTAATAGAGATGGTGTTTCAGTATATTGACTAGCCTGGTCTTGAACTCCTGACCTCAGGCGATCCACCCACCTCAGCCTCCCAAAGTGTTGGGATTACAGGCATGAGTCACTGCACCCAGCCCAATTAGTATTCTTATGAACTCTTGGGTTTAAATTTATTTGATGGGTTTCAGATCGTTGCAACAATTAACCTTCTTGAGAGCCTGTTGTCTTATCTTTGGCCAGTAGAATCCTCTTTGAGTTGGCTGCACAGAGTTACTTTGTCAATACCCTAGTAGTTTTTGACAGTTTCCTTTTTACCTGGTGTTAGTCCATTTTCACGCTGCTAATAAAGACATACCCAAGACTGGGTAATTTATAAAGAAAAAGAGGCTTAATGGACTCGAAGTTCCGTGTGGCTAGGAAGGCATCACAACTGTGGCAGAAGGTGAAAGGTATGTCTTACATGGTGGCAGGCAAGAGAGAATGAGAAGCAGGCAAAAGAGGTTTCCCCTTATAAAACCATCAGGTTTTGTGAGACTTATTCATTACCATGAGAGCAGTGTGGGGGACACTACCCCCATGATTCAAGTATCTCCTGCTGGGTCCCTCCCACAACATGCGGGGATTATAGGAGCTACAATTCAAGCTGAGATTTGGGTGGGGACACTGCCAAACCATATCAACTGCTGCAACAAGATGTTGCAGAGTCGTCTTCTACTGCTTCTCTTTTAGACCTGTTAGCCATTTCTTAAAGATGCCTTTTTGTTTGTTTCTTTTTGTATCATTTTGTATTTTCATGGGAAATCTCTTCCAGTGTCTGCTGTCAAGGTGTTCTGCTGTTCTTTACTGTGGATATCCGTTGGCTGTTCTATGGTGTTGCTGTTCTCACCCCGTCAGATGCCCGGTGGCTTCTCTCTGTTTCCTCCTGCAAAGATGTCAATACCATACAGGTATCGTGACTGTTGGTGGTTTGTCCTTATCTGCTTAAATTTTGGAGTCTGTGGGCATGCCCTCTCACCCAGGTTTATTGTTAATGTTGCCAGTGATTTTGCCATTGCTAAATAGTTTCTCTGTCTACTGTTACATGGCAATTCAGAAATAACAAAAAACTATGTCATTTCTGCAACTGCCACATTCCCAGAATCTTTTGTGGTGTTTTTTTACTTGCATAAGTCTTAAATTTTAATGTAGTCAGATTTATCAATCTTTAATGTTATGGCTTTATGCTTTTGCTTGTATGCTTAGAGAGGCTTTCTCCATTCTAAACTGAGGTAAGTAATCTCTCATACATTTTTAAGTATTTTATTGTTTTTTTTTTTTGTACATTAAAAATGTAATCCATCTGTAATTTATTTTGGTGTTGGTGAGATTTAGGGATCTGATTTTTCCAAGTAGACTTTTCCAAAACCATTTATTCGATTATCTCAGAACTGATTGAAAGGCCTCATTTAATCTAGACTAAGCACTCTTTGTAGTTAGGTCTGTTATTAAGCTCTCTAATCATTTCCATCAGTCTGTCTTCCACACAGTTTTAACGACCAAACATTATAATTTTCCATGTCTGCTTAGTGTAAGAACCTTTCTTTTATTAATCCTTTCTAACATTTTAAAACCATTCCTTCCCATTTATTCTTTAAGAGGAATAGCCGAAGAATGTCATCAATCCCATGGTTATTTTGACTGGGATGGCAAATAATTTGGAGAGAAATAATATTTTCATAACATTAGAATTTTTCCATTCAGGGAAATAGTATATTTCTTCATTCATTCTAGTCTTCTCTTATGGTCCTTGGTAAAATTGCCTCAATTTATTCCTATAAGTCCTCCAAATCTCTTCATGAATAGAAAAGTATAATCTGTTACCTCCTTCTTCCAAGAGGCAGAATTTGTTCCAGAGTCTGAGCTGCTGATTCCCCAAATGGGGTTAAATATTGCATTGCTCCCCAGCTGGAAACCTGCAGAGACAGAGAATAAACGAGGTATGGCCACTATGAGCATGTGACTTGCAGCTCTGTAACTTCAGGGAGCATAACTGTGCAAGGGCTGGAGCTGCAGTGCTCTGATGTGCACTGCCGCATTTGCACCAGGCCATGTTTCCCAGGGGTTGTGCCAAGCCAATGACTGGGTGTGGCTGAGATGCTAAGGCAGACTCATTTCTAGGAGACAGACTCTTCTGCCAGCTGACTTTAGCTTGAGGACTTCTCAAAAGGTCCACTGAGATCGCCTTAGATCACTAGGCCTTGGCTGTTTGGGATGTTTCCACTTGACTTTTCCCTCCTATTTCCTTTGCTTGGGTCCTCTTTCCTTGTGTCAATCTGTCAATCTGGTGGATCTCCAGGCCTTCTTGGCTCCCCACCTATTTTCTCCCACAAGTGTTTTCTCTAACACAATTGTTGTATGTTTAATACCATGTTTGTATCTACTTCTTAGAGGACCTGGACTAACACACATGATTTTGCAATTTCATATTTTAAAATGATTTTACTCTTAGAATTTAATAAAAACATATCATATGGTTAAAATGTTGTACCAGTAAGTAGTTTCTCCAAAGTAGAAGAGCTAATAAGTAGGTGAGCTGGGCATCAAATACTAGCTTTTGATCTAATTCAAAAGCCCATTCTCAGCTCACACATGTGGTTTACACTTTGAAGGGCAGTACTATCAGGTTGGCATAGAGACTCCATATTAACCAGGAGAAGTATTTAAGGTGTGAATGAGAAGTTGGGACTGGAATCTGGGCAATTTGAGTGCTTGGCTAGAGCATTTAAGGAGCTGTGAATTCTGGCTGAGCAGTGGCCTATCATTCTACTTAAAGCAAGGGTCTAAGTTTGTTGGTGGCAAGGGAATTTAGCATTTCAAAAGGTAGTTTGGAAATATCTGTATGCAATGAATGGCTTCTGACCCTGCATTTGCATTTCTAGAAATTTATGTGAAGAAAATAATTAAGAATATACTCAGCTATGGTACTATAATAATGTTCAACAAACTGCTGTTTGAAATAATGCAAAGTTGGAAACAATGTAAATGTCTAACAGTAGAAGATTTGGTTAAATAAGCGGTGATCTATACAAGTGTATAAAAACATTTGAAATGATATTACACAAATGTAACTGCTGATGTGAAAAGTGTTTACAATGTGCTTTTAAATGATGTGTTTATTTAGAGACAAGGGTCTCCCTGCATTGCCCGGTCTGAAGTGCAGAGGTGCAATCATAGCTCTTTGCAGTCTTGGCTTCCCAGTCTCAGGTGAGCATCCCCCTCAGCCTCCCGAGTAGCTGGGACTACAGGCGTGTGCCGCTGTGCCCTGCTAATTTTTTGTAGTATTTTGTAGAGATGGGGTTTCTTCATGCTGCCCAAGCTGGTCTAGAACTTTTGGGCTCAAGAGGTCCGCCCACCTTGGCCTCCCAAATTGTTGGGATTATAGGTGTGAACTACCATACCTGGCCACCATATACTTTTTTTCTTTCAAAAGCATTGTTGAATTAAAAAAAAAAAAAAACTTTTTGTTTTAAAATAAACTTATAGAAAAATTGCAGAAACAGTAAAGACTCCTTTTCGTTAATCATTTTAAAGTAAGTTGCCAACATGATGTCCCAGTGGCCCTGAATACTTGCGTACTGTGGTTAGGCATAGGTCATTCTGCTACCTAATCAACATACAACTATAAACATCAAGAAATTAACATTGATATTTGTATTAGGGTTCTCCAGGCTGGAAGAGGCAAGGAAGGATTCTCCCCTAGAGCCTCCGGGGGGAGCTCAGCCCTGCTGACACATTGATTTTGGACTTCTGGACTTTAGAACTGTAGAGAAAACATTTCTGTTGTTTTAAACCATGAAGCTTGTGATAATTTGCTACAGTAGCCTCAATAAACAAATACAATGTCCTTTCCTTGCTCTAGCCCTAGTATTAGCTATTTCTCAAGGACCCCTGGTTCCTTGGTGTAAAATGTATGTCCATGAATTCACACTGATCTCTCTAGTTTCTACCTACAATCACAATTTTCACACCCGTCTTCTTTTTTTCCATATTAATACCTTCCTTCTCTAACAGTGAGAAACCACCTGGTTCTCAATATATTATTAGTTGAATACCCCATATGTATGTAAATTAGTTCCCATTGTTGCTGGTGGAGGGTGTTCAGGTTCTTGGTGTCTTGAACACAGAATTGGACAAAACGCACAAACAAAGCAGTGAAAAAATGAAGCAACAAAAGCAGAGATTTATTGAAAGCAAACTACACTCTGCAGAGTAAAATTGGGCTGAGCAAGAGGCTCAAGAGCCAGGTTACAGAATTTTCTGGGGTTTAAATACTCTTGAGATTTTCCATTGGTTACTTCGTATACACCCTATGTAAAGGAAGTAGTGGCCCTTGTTCAGTCTGATTGGTTGTGGGAAGGGACCAATCAGAGGCTGAAATGAAGTCACAAAGTTACACGCTATGCAAATATCCGATTGGTTGTGCAAAGTGACCGATCGGAGGCTGAAGTAAAGTTACAAAGTTATACTTCCAGGCAAATGAAGCCTTGGCCGGTGACCAGCCTGACTGGTTGCAGGAGGGGACAAATCAGAGGTACTTTGAATTTTTCATCTGCCACAGAGAAAAGGGGTGGTTTGCAAAGGGAGTAGCCTCCAGTCCTTTTGTTACTTGGGCATGAAAAGTTAGGGTTTTCCTTTTGATTTAGTTCTAGGAAGTCAGTGTGAATCAGCCATAGGTTCCCTGCCTCCAGACCCTGTTCTCCTGCCTCACCATCACCACCAGTGCCCACCCCCTCACAAATGCTCTTCTCATCCTGCTTACTCTCTAAATTCCTGTTTGGGAGCCACCACGCAGCAGGCTGCCCCTCAAGCTGGTGTCTTCCTCACTCAGTTGGATTCTTTTTTAAAATTTTTCTAATTTTTTAGTTTTTTTTTTTTTTTGAGGCAGGGTCTCACCCTGTTGCCCAGGCTGTAGGGCAGTGGCATGATCTCAGATCTCAGCTCACTGCAACCTCTGCCTTCCAGGTTCAGGCGATCCTCCTACTTCAGCCTCCCAAGTGGTTGGGACTACAGGTGTATGCCACCACGCCTGGATAATTTTTTTAATTTTTATTTTTTGTAGAGACAGGGGTCTCACTATATTGCCCAGGCTGATCTCAAACTCCTGGGCTAAAGGGATTCTCCCACTTCTGCCTCCTAGGGTGCTGGAATTCAGACATGAATCACCGTGCCTGGCCCCGCTTGAATTCTGACACTTCGCACGAGATTGCGGATGTCACTCTTCACTCCTCCCCTACTCCTCCCCCACTGCTGCCTCTGATGTACCCCACACTGGGCCACCACAGCCTGCCCTCCCTACCCTCCCCTCACACTCAGCCACAGGGTCCCTCCCTCACTTGGCTCCACTCAATAATTTAATGATCTTGGACTCAATTTTTCGGGAAGAAAAAGAAGAAGGAAAGAGGAAAATAATGCAGAAAGGAAGACATCATCTATATTTTTAAGTGAAAAAAAAGTCAATATATTTGGGGGAAAATCTGTAGGAGCAAAGAAAAGAATGTGGACATGCCTATGCTAAGATTATCCACAGTGGCTATCGCTGGGAGACTAGGTATTGGGTGTACTTTCTTTCCTCTTTTTGCTGGATTCAATTTTCTTTTCTTCTCTTTGTTGTCCTCCCTTACCTTCTCCTTAAGACGGGAGGTCAATGAGCACAATTTTGTTTTTCTTTTGGCAGAGTGTCTCTCTGTCACCCAGGCTGGAATGCAGTGGCACAATCTCGGCTCACTGCAACCTCCACCTCCTGAGTTGAAGGGATCTTCCTGCCTCAGCCTCCTGGGTAGCCGGGATTACAGGCATGCACCACTACACCTGGGTAATTTTTGTATCATACTTTGGTTTTGAAGTAACTAAAATAACTAAAAATAACTAAAAACTTTATTTTTGAATATGAAAAACAGGGTCTGTAATTAAACTCATTTTTTTTTTTTTCTGTCCTGTATAGAGAGTAACTCAAACATTATGGGTTTTGGGATGAATTGAGTTTTTCTTTTAGCTTAAAAATGGTTTTCGGAAGCTGGCCCACCTAGAAAATAATGCTGCTTACTTTTTCTGTTAATTGCTTGAATCTGAGGGTCTATCTTTTTCTATTGCTAACTGATATCTCTGACATTTTCCCAGCTGGTGTATTGATTCACTACAAGATAAATCATTCATCTGTGCTGGGCAATGTGTAGAGTAAGAGGGAGAAAAAGTAGAAAACAGCATTCTTGTTCTTTTTTTATGCTCTCAAACTTAATAAAATTTATTAACATTTTCACTTGTGTCAAGTAGAGCTGGCATGAATCTAGGCAAATACCACCCCAACTAAGAGCATCTATAGCTCTTTAAATTTCTACTCTGCAGCTATTGGTGGGATGTATGTGGCTGATTGTAAGCAACCTGTTTTAGAAAGATACATGCATGCTAAAGCTTTGTGATGTGTTATACTAATATCGCTCTGTAATATAGTTACCGTTGCTCCCAATCTTTGTTTTCTTGAGTTGCTTATGGTAGAATCAATTTCACTTTACATGTGGCTGTTGAAAACAGACTCCATTTAGAACAATGTATTCGATGAAGTCATACTCTTTGCTCTTTGGAGCTTTCACCAGGGAGGTTTTATTTCTCTGTATTAGTGATTTTGGCCCAATGAAGTATTTCCCCACTCTGACTGGTTTCTGAGTAAGCCACACTTGCCTGGGCCTTTTAGATTCAAGCTGTAGAAATTTTGAGCCTATTGAAAAATCGTTTCATATTACTCTGTAAAGGGAACCAAATGTGTAACACCCTTTAGTGTTGGGTTTATGTTTTGCTAGTACTTTTGTTTGAGTTCTTTTTTATCCTTGAGTCCACTGACATTATTTGCAATGGTCCATTTTTAAGGAGATTAATTACACCCTCAGTATATCTGCCTTCCCATTTGAAAATGTTCTTTCTGGGACTTGATTGGAAAATAATAGAAAACAGCTCAGGCAGCTGCCTCAGTTACCAAGACAACAAAACGGAGAAATAACTGCCTGCTTGGCTTTTTTCTCTTTTTCTGAACTACCTTCCATATACAGTCATGTCCTTCCTAAAAGCAACGTACCTGTTCGAAATGACTAGTTTGAAATTACTAGCTGATAGTTACTGTATTAGTTTTTTCACAAGAGTATTAGGTGCCCTGATTATAGTCTGAGGACAAAACAGTTTGTTTTTCTCCAAGTTTTCCTTTAAGTTATTTACAAAATTATATAGATAGTGCATTTATAATACATGTTCAGTATAAGAAAGTAAAACTTTACAGAGGTATAAAGTGTAAAAAGTGTAAGTCCTGCTTTCCAGGTCACTTATCTTGACCAATTTTAACATATTGTAGTGAATATGATTTCAATAAATTGACTCTGAGTGAACTTCAGAACAGTAATGTGTTCAGATCAGTAAGAACCATGTTTTAAATATAGATGTTAAAAGTTAAACATTTAAAAACCCCTGGCTGGGCATGGTGGCTCATGCCTGTTATCCCAGCACTTTGGGAGGCCAAGGCGGGTAGATCACCTGAGGTCAGGAGTTTGAGACCAGCCTGGACAACATGGTGAAACCTTGTCTCTAGTAAAAATAAAAAATTAGCTAGGTGTGGTGGTGGGCGCCAATAATCCCAGCTCCTTGGGAGGCTGAGGCAGGAGAATCGCTGGAACCTGGGAGGCGGAGGTTGCAGTGAGCCGAGATTGCACCACTGCACTCCAGCCTGGGTGGTGACAGGAGTGAAACTCCACCTCATAATGATAATGATAATAATAATAATAAATAAATAAAATAAACCCCGTTAACATTTATATATAGAATATATGTTTCTTGTATAAAATTCAGAAAAAAGACAAGCAAGAAAGTATAAATTACCCATAATTGCAATACCCAAAAGTCACCCCCATTCAAATTTAATTTGAATTCTTTCAAGAGGATTACGTTTTATTTTAAAGTAATACCAGATCTAAATAAAAAATAAATATGTATTGCTGTTCATAATAATAAAGCAAAAATAATAGTTACTCTTATTAGCACTTCCTATGTGTCAGCCCTGTAGTAAAAGCTTACAAGCCTGTAAATACAACCATTTTGGGGTAACATTTGGCATATTAATTTCTGATCCATTCTTTCCTTTTGTATATAGGCATTTTTTAAAAGTATGTAGTTATCATTGTACTGTACCTTTTGAACTCTAATTTTTGTTTAAAATTTTTCTGTGATTTATATATTGCTTGAAATAATGTTTATAGTACATTATCAGATAGCTTTTTCAGCATGCTTTTATTGGTTGCCTAATATTTCACTGAATGCGTGTATGATTCATATAATCATTTCCATGTTAGACATTTATTATTTCGACCTTTTCATATGGAGTTCTTTTTATATTATTCCTTAGAATAAATTATTTCTTCAAATGGATTTATCAGGAATGAAATGATTGGGCCAAGGTTATGGATAGTTTTGGAGCTCTTGAATGTATTGCTAAGTTGCTTTACCAAAGGGATACCGATTCATTCTGTTGTCATCATTACATAACAGCATTAGCAGCTGTGTGTCCTATTCTAATTTGACAGAAGCAAAATGACAACATGTATTTAGTTTCTCTTTGATTATGACTGAGTTTAGTTATTTATCCATGTTTCCTAGTACTATTTCCTTTTCTAATGAATTCTTTCTATGTTATGATGCTGCATTTTATCCTGAAAATGTATGTCTTTTTTATATCACAAAAGTAATACGTACTTATTTTTAAATTAAAACAGTACAAAATGCAGATAAAAAACAGAACTTTCTCTCACTGCATCTCCTTAATCCAAGAGTGGATGGGTATGTATATCTACATCTCCAGACCTTTCTCTAAGACAAGGAATTAAACCTTATCCATTCTTTTTGGTGGTGATGGAGGGGCTACGAGTTTGATACGGGTTCCTTTCCAAGCAAAGATATTCACCTTTGTCTTATGTCCTTTATATGTATATTTTCCATTTGTTGTTAACCTTTAGAAGTTAAACTAAATATTATAATTCATTTTAAATTTTTAAAATTAGGCTTTTGTTGCTGTTCCAGTCAACTTTGCTCATCTTTTCCCTTGTGTTTTCATTTTTAATTCTTTTCACCTTACAATAGCCTTTTTCATCAAAAGGCTCACAAAATATTAAATTCTGTTTTCTGCTATTATAAAATTTTGGTATATATTGTAAGATGATCTTCTAAAACCTTTTTTCCCCCCAAGTTGTGAGTCATATCCTCAAACGTTGGGCTGCATAATCCCGGTCTTTCTCAAGGATTTGCAGTGCCTCCGTGGTTCTATTTTAAGTTCAGAAGTCTAAGAAGGCCTTTCTCCAGTGTATCTTGTTGTACTGAGTTGTGTCATTTAATGTCATTTTTAAAAAGTGCTACATAAAAATAGGTCTGATATTTTAATAAGAGTAGATTTCCGTTTGTATAAAACACAGACAAATTTATGTATGCCTCCCTGGGAAATGTTTTTCTTCCAGAACTTGCCTAAATTTTTAAAAAGCACTGTTAATATTTTATGATGTACATTAAATATGGATTAACATGTAAAAATGAGATGACTCATTTTCTTATTTTCAGT